TATATATATACATAATATATATATATGTATATATATATACATATATATATATACATAATATATATATATATATATACATACATATACATTATACATTATACCCTGCATACATCTTCTTGGGTCTGTGTAACCCTGCTCCTCAGCCTTCAGCAGGCGCTCGATGCGCCGCATGGCCACGAAGGTCTGCGTCAGGTACTGGATCGTGATCGGAAACCTCAGGAGGCTTAGAGTTTAGGGTTGAGGGTTTAGGGTTTAGGGTTTAGGGTCTAGGGTCTAGGGTTGAGGGCCCTTTTCTCTAAAACCTGACCCCATACATGAGGATCCGCAGCTTCTAGGGTTTAGGGTTGAGGCCCTTTTCTCTAAAACCTGACACCATACATGAGGATCCGCAGCTTCACTTTACGAAAAATGCCTTTCAAAATCCCCGAAGCCTTGAACCTGAAACCCCACGTCGAAACCCCCGAACCTCGAACCCCGGACCCCAACCTCTACCAGAAGAGCCTATAACCCCGACCCTAAACCCAACACCTTTTAAACCGAAACACCCTTAAACCTGACAAGGAACAGGTTGATTGGAACCTGGATGAGGTCAAACATGGCCAAGGAGGAGAACACGATGCCGGCCGTGAGATCTCCGCCGAGCAGGATGAAGACCTTCCCGCGGAGGGGTCGTGTTTCGGCACTCAGGGCAGAAGCTCGAAGAGCAGGTCTGGGTCGGGTCTCGGTCTAGGGTTTAGGGTCTAGGGTTGAGGGTGTAGGGTTTAGGGTTTAGGGTTTAGGGTTTAGGGTTTAGGGTGGGCCCGGCCGTGAAGGTAAAGAGCTGAAGAAGCGCCGTGGTCGGGCCACCGAACCTGGGCGCTGGCCAACGTGGACCCCTGAGTGAAAAGAACACACCCCCTATCTTTAACCCCGATACTCGGACCCGGATTCCCCAAGCACGACCCCTCTTAGAGGAAAAGGGTTTAGTAGCCAGAGTTCAGGCCTTGGGGCTGTTTCGGGGTCTGGAAGTTTAGGGGTTCAGGAGCCTCTTGGGGGTTTACGCCTTTGGACTCGGCCATGGCCAGAAAGGGTCTTAGGTTAAAGGGATTGCGCGCTGGAGACGTTTCTGGTCTCGAGCCTCTGACGCATGCGAATCTTTCTGCTACTTTGCCCATGGACCCCGGCTCTGCCACACCTCGGCCCCTTTACACCACAATCCAAATCTTAACACTGAGCCACCAAGCCCTTCGAAATCATAAGCCTTGATCCTAGATTCTCGTGTGGGCACTTACCCCAACTCCTGAATCTCATCCGATGAACCCGAAAAAATCGCCGCTACGCTTTTCCTTGAACCCTCAACTCCAAGGAGCAGAAGACCAATGATCAGCTGCCACGACCTCAGCGCTCAAAGCAGCTCCAAGGCTGGGCCCTCTACACAGAAAGGGATCAGCGGTCCCAGGACCTGTGCCGCTAAGAGGGCGGCTTCAGGCGCCGCAGCGTCTTCAGCTCCAGGATTCGGCGCTCCTCCACCATGTTGGCGATCTCCGACTCCCAGGCCAGCATCTTGCAGAGACGCATGGCGTGCAAGACCTCCTGGGATTGGGGAGGTCTTGGTATGGCCACGGCTTGGGATTCAGTGCCGGCGCCTGCTTCGTACAAATGGACTGGGAGCACGCGGCAGACGTTGTTGGCGACGTTGTTGGCTCAGGAGCAGGAGCAGGAGGAGGAGGAGGAGGAGGAGGAGGAGCAGCAGCAGTAGCAGCAGCAGAAGCGGTCGTCGTCGCCGTCACAGTAGCAGCAGCAGGAGCGGCCGCGGTAGCAGTAGCAGTAGTAGTGTTAGTAGTCGTTGTCTGATGGCAGTGGTAAGGGCAGTGGGCAGGCAGCGGTACTGACAGTAAAAAAGCAACGAGGGCAGTGGCAGTGGCAATAGCAGTGTCGCGGAACAGCACGAACAACCCACACTCAAGCGTTGGTTAGTGAGTGTGTATGCCTGGAATACATGACATTAAACCACATTAGACTGCAGCACAGTACAATACAATACAATACAACACACTACAATAGAATGCATTACAATATAACATCATACAATAGAAGACCAAAAATACAACAGAAGACCAAAAAATAACAGCGACATAGGACAATGCAAAATAATATATTACAATATAATATGCTAGAATACAGCACGATAGAATATAACATAACTTAATGTAATGTACTACAAAAGGCTATAAAATGTTATCAGGTCTCATAATTAAAAAAATGTAAAATACTGTTTGCTAGCACAACATAATGTAAGTATTAAATGGAGTATAACATGTAATGTTGAGAAAGATAATATGCAAATGTAGGGTAATTTACGGCAGTATACTGTGATATAATATAGTAAAGCATGGTATAACATCATCGTGTGTTATGTATAACATAAAATATTGAAGCAAGGTATGACATGATATGGCATGAAAAGATATGATTCTGATGTGATATTATATGGTACGGTACAGTGCAGTATAACATAACAGAACAGAATGGGATATAAGATGATGCAATGTAATACAATATCAAATAACATAATAAAGAAAAATATACTATACTTTTCCAAAATATATTTTATTCAACATGATATGATCTGATATCAAACGATACCATGTACTAGAATAGAACATAATAAAATATAAACTAGTATAGCGAAATATAGTACCGTGTGAGCTATATCATGACTTACACATTCGTACATACATACATACATACATACATACATACATACATACATACATTCATTCATTCATGCATTCATTCATTCATACATACACACAGACAGACAGACAGACAGACAGACAGACAGACAGACAGACAGCCAGGCAGGCAGGCAGGCAGGCAGACAGACAGGCAGACGTATCCACCAGCTCTCCGGCCTTCGCGATTCAGCCCTCGCGATTGGCAGCGCAAACCGTCCACAGCTCAAAGGAGATTTGGAGCAAAACCGCAAAACCCAAAACCCCAAAGCCCCTCTCAAGCAAGAGCTTCCGTCACGATCTTCACCCGCTCGTCCCGGGCGCGGTTGAGTTTTGAGGACAGTGTCATCAACCTCAGGCACAACTTGTGATGGCGGCTTTCCCTAGACCCTACACCCTAAACATCGGCTGTGCGGGGGAAGGAAAGAAGAGCGTCCGATGATCTAGACCTAAAAGTGGTGTTTTCTGCCTCTTCGTCAGCAGCTTGTTGAACCGGTAAGTGGCGACCATGATGACGATGGGCACCTTACTTCGGGCTCCCATGCCCCGGACATGCCGTTTAAATCAACGAAATAGTAACCGTAGCAACTGTAGTAACAGTAATAATCATCCTAACATTCGTTATAATTAAAAGGAAGAAACCGACTGCTTGGAATAATTGTATTAAGAGAGTTGATAGTAAATTTGCTGAAGGTCTGGCGGTTTTGGTTTTGGAAGGCTTCTTCGGCATTGCATGGTGGTGGCTCACAGACATGGGTTTAGGGTTTAGGGAGTAAGTCGAGGGCACCTATTGAAAGCTGAGACTCAGACTCCAACAAAGCCTTTTCCTGCCCTGAACTGTCATTTTCGATGCTTCAGTCTAGTGTTAGGGTTATTGTAAGGTTTAGCGTTTAGGGTTTAGGTTTTAAGGTTTAGGGTTTATCTGAGGCTTTGGGGTTCAGCGTGAATCTTTGCCTTTCGTGTCCACGAGTGCTTTAGGTCAAGCTCGCTGGAGCAAGCTTTGATGCTGCTACGACTGTCGGCAAAGCTACTATGTACAGTGTAGGTAGAACAAGGCCTGATTACGCCTCAAGGGCCCGGATATGCTGCACGTCCGCCATCCATATAACGCAAACACCAGCTCACGAAATCCCCGTCCGGACGTGTTCAGCAACCTGAGGCATCTGAACAAGGAAGCCTCCCGCTACGCGCGAGGCACCATGACATCCACTGCACTGGAGGTTTTCTGGGTGACATGAGGAAATATGAATGGGCGCCTGAATCTCAAGAACTTTTGACCCACCCCTCATCCCACCCGTATCTCAATCTCACTACTGTTCACCGCCAGTAGCATTGCTACTCTTCCCGGTGTCTCTGCTTCTCGCGATGACTGCGACAATCTAAACTTCTCCTGCTGCCCACGCCGAGGGAGCAAGAAGAGGAGCAATTGGAGCAATAAGGACAACCCATGGTCACTGGATGAGCTTGCCCCAGTCCTTCTCCCCTAGACCCTAACCCGTTAAACCCCTAAATCCCTAAATCCCTAAAACCCCAAAACCCTGAATCCTAAACCCTAAAACCCTAAAACCCTGAACCCTAAACCCTAAAACCCTAAAACCCAAAAACCCTGAACCCTAAACCCTAAAACCCTAAAACCTGAAACCCTAAACCCTTTTGCATCCAGGACTCTTGCAAGCAGCCAGAAATCCTAAACCCTGAAACCCTAAACCGTAAAACCCTAAAACCCTGAAATCCTAAACCCTAAACCCTAAACCCTAAACCCTAAACCCAACACTAGCCCGAAAACCCTAAAACCCTAAAAACCCTACTTGGAGTCGTTCCGGCTCGTTCTGAGGAGGAGCAAAGGCCGCCCACTTCAGCATGTTGAAAAGCAGCGACATGCCTCGGTTGGGTTTAGAGTTTAGGGTTTAGGGCAGTTTAGGGTTTTTTTGCCTCCTACTTAGCAAGGACAAGCCCGCAATGCAGGGTAACGCAACGTCTCAGAACATGAGCTCGATTAACTAAGTGGGCAACCTTTCACAGGCTATCCACGACAGTTCCAGATCCAACCCATTTCAGCCAGATCCCAAACAAGTCCTCAAGTAACCACGGCTTCACATCGGACTTTGCTCAGCTTCAGATTGACCGAAACTGCCTAGGCTGCCTGCTCACTCAAGCGCTCAGACTATGCCTAGTTTAGGGTTTAGGGTTTAGGCAGC